TGAGAGCCAATAACTGCCAACCCAGACTGATATACCCGGCAAAGCTAGCATTCACATTCGATGGAGAACTGAAAACTTTTAATAGCAAAGAAAAACTAAATGAATACATAAACATTAAGCCAGCATTACAAAGAATTCTAAGAGGGGGGACACAACCTGAAGAAAGCAACCAGGAACTGGGACCTGCCCCAAACAGGCATTACTCAAAGTCTAACTGAGCAAGCACAGGAGGAAAGGAAAGAAGAAAAACTTAGGAAAACGGAATGGCAGGGACAACAATGCATCTCTCTATACTTTCTCTTAATATAAATGGGCTGAATTCGCCAATTAAAAGAAAACGAACTGAGGACTGGATCAGAAAACAAGACCCATCCATCTGTTGCCTTCAGGAGACCCACCTCTCAGCCAAACATACAAACAAACTCAGAGTGAAGGGGTGGAAAAGGATCTACCAATCAAATTCCCCCAATAAGAAAGCAGGTGTAGCAATCCTGATATCTGACAAAATAAACTTTTCATTAAAATCAGTACAGAAAGACAAGGACGGACATTACATATTAATAAAGGGAACAATCCAAGAGGAGGATATAACCATCATCAACTTATATGCCCCAAATATCGGTGCACCCAGATATGTTAAACAAATGCTCTCAAACTTACAGAATAAAATAGATCCCAATACGATAATACTAGGAGACTTTAACACGCCACTCTCACCAAAGGACAGGTCTACCAACCAGAGGATTGGCAAAGAAGCTACCGAATTAAGTGAGGCCATACTTCAAGCGGAATTAACTGACATCTACCGAGTATTTCACCCTAAAACAACACAGTACACATTCTTCTCAGCAGCTCATGGAACTTTCTCCAAAATAGACCATATCATAGTTCATTCAAGGAACTTAAGCAAATACAAAGGGATCGACATAATCCCCTGTATCCTATCTGACCACAGTGGAATCAAGCTAGCTCTCAATAACAAAGCATACCGCAGAAATTTCTCTAATACATGGAAATTGAACAGCACACTCCTTAACAAGGCCTGGGTAACAGAAGAGATCAGAGAAGAAATAAAGCATTTCCTAGAACTCAATGAAAATGAAAACACCTCACAAAGAAACTTGTGGGACACAGCAAAAGCAGTCCTGAGGGGCAAATTTATTGCCCTCAGTGCCCACATCAAGAGAATGGAGACAGACCAAGTAAATAATCTCATGTTGCAACTAAAACAGCTAGAAAAACAAGAAAAAATGGGACCTAAAGCTACTAGACGAAGCCAGATAACCAAATTGAGAGCAGAGATTAACCAATTAGAAAATCAGAAAACCATAACCAAAATAAACCAAACAAAAAGCTGGTTCTTTGAAAAAATAAACAAAATTGATGGCCCGTTGGCAAGATTAATTAAAAAAAGAAGAGAGGAAACCCATATTAATAGGATTAGGGATGCCACGGGAAACATCACAACACGTACCCAAGATATCCAAACAATTCTAACAGACTACTTTCAAAAGCTATACTCTCTAAAGGAAGAAAATCTGGCGGAAATGGATGCATTTTTAGAGAAATACAAGTTACCCAAACTGAGCAAAGAAGAAGTTAACCAATTAAATAAGCCAATATCCTATAATGAGATACAGGAAGCTATCAAAAGTCTTCCAACAAAAAAAAGCCCAGGACCAGATGGATTCACAGCAGAATTCTATAAGACCTTTAAAGAAGAACTAATACCCATACTCCTCAAGCTCTTCAGAGAAACAGAGAAGGAGGGAGCTATCCCAAACTCATTCTACGAAGCCAATATCACACTCATCCCCAAACCAGGCAAAGACCCAACCAAAAAGGAGAATTACAGGCCAATCTCCTTGATGAACACAGATGCAAAGATCCTTAACAAGATTCTAGCTAACAGAATCCAGAAACACATAAAAAAAATAATACACTATGATCAGGTAGGCTTCATCCCAGAGACACAGGGATGGTTTAACATACGTAAGTCAATAAATGTAATCCAGCATATCAACAGAGCCAAGGTCAAGAATCACATGATTATCGCCACAGATGCAGAAAAGGCCTTTGATAAAATTCAACATTCATTCATGCTAAAAGCTCTGGAGAAAATAGGAATAGAAGGAACATTTCTAAAAACAATAAAAGCCATTTATGACAGACCAATAGCCAATATTATACTTAATGGGGAAAAGCTACAACCAATCCTCCTAAAAACAGGAACAAGGCAAGGATGTCCACTGTCTCCACTCCTCTTCAACATAGTCCTAGAACCCTTAGCCAGGGCAATAAGGCAAGAAAAAGACATTAAAGGGATCCGCATAGGGAAAGAAGAAGTGAAACTATCCCTTTTTGCAGACGACATGATACTATACCTCCACGATCCCAAAAACTCCATCCCCAAACTTTTAGAAATCATAAGTCACTTCGGCAAAATAGCAGGATACAAAATAAACCCACAAAAATCAGTTGCCTTCCTATACACTGATAACGCACAGGAAGAGAGGGAAATAAAGGGAGCAACCCCATTCACAATAACCTCCCAAAAAATAAAATATTTAGGAATTAACCTAACCAAAGATGTAAAAGAACTATTTAATGAGAACTATAAAAAGTTAAAGAAAGAAATTGCAGAAGACACTAGGAAATGGAAAGACCTCCCATGCTCCTGGATAGGCCGACTTAATATAGTAAAGATGGTGATACTTCCAAAATTAATATACAAATTCAATGCAATTCCTATTAAAATCCCAATGACGTACATCACTGAAATACAGAAAACAGTCCAAAAATTTATATGGAACAACAAAAGACCTAGAATAGCCAAAACAATTCTAGGGGATAAAGACAATATGGGAGGGCTATCCATGCCGAACTTCAAACTCTACTACAGAGCTATAATCACAAAGACAGCATGGTACTGGCACAAAAACAGACCCGAAGACCAATGGAACAGAATAGAAGATCCAGATATAAATCCACAGGCCTACAGCCAGCTGATATTCGACAAAGGAGCCAAAGACATACAATGGAAGAAACACAGCCTCTTCAACCGCTGGTGCTGGGAAAACTGGGCGGCCACATGCAGAAAACTAAAAGTGGACCCCAGCCTATCACCATGCACCAACATCAACTCAAAATGGATTAAAGACCTTAACATTAAACCTGAATCTCTGAAACTACTGCAGGACAGAGTAGGAGAGACACTTGAACTAATAGGCACAGGAAGGAACTTCCTGAACAGAGTCCCAGGGTCACAACAAGTTGGAGAGAGACTCGACAAATGGGACTACCTTAAAATAAAAAGCTTCTGCACAGCTAAATCTATCGCAACTAAGCTAGAAAGACAACCAACTAATTGGGAGAAAATATTTACCAGCAATATATCAGACAAGGGGTTAACATCCTGTATATACAGGGAACTCAAGAAACTAATCCCTCCCAAACCTAACAAACCAATTACTAAATGGGCAAGGGAACTAAAGAGGGACTTCTCAAATGAAGAAATAAAAATGGCAAAGAAACACATGAGGAAATGTTCATCATCCCTGGTGGTGAAGGAAATGCAAATAAAGACAACCCTGAGATACCACCTTACCCCAGTCAGAATGTCCCACATCCACAAATCAGCCAACGACAAATGCTGGAGGGGATGTGGAGAAAGAGGAACCCTATTACACTGCTGGTGGGAATGTACACTTATACAACCACTTTGGAAAGCAGTCTGGAGGGTCCTTAGAAAGCTAAAGATTGACCTCCCTTACGACCCAGTCATACCACTTCTAGGCATCTACCCTGAACAACAGGAACCAATATACAAGGACACGTGCACCTCCATGTTTATTGCAGCACTGTTCGCAATAGCTAGGATATGGAAACAACCTAGGTGCCCCACCACAGATGAATGGATCCAAAAATTGTGGTATCTATACACAATGGAATATTATGCAGCCATTAGAAATGACAAAATAATGGCATTTGCAGGGAAATGGATGGAGCTAGAAGGAATCATGTTGAGCGAGGTAAGCCAAGAACGAAGAGACAAACGGTACATGGTCTCCCTCATAAGTGGATGCTAAATCCAAAAGGTTAGTGATACGACAAAACTAACAGGACTTAAGAAACAAAGAACTCCCGCTCATCTGGTTGAACCACTACTAAATATCCTCATGCTGCTGATCACAAATATGGTATATAACATGTGAACACTGTTATATATTACAGACTGTGGTAGACAATTTGCTCCAGGGAAGTTAGAATGAACTTGTGACTTTGAAATTATGTAATCATTTAATCACAATCAAAAAAAAAAAAAAAAAGAACCTCGGGGAAGGGAGGGAGGGAGGGGATGGTAGGGGGAAAACAATGGAGGGGGTAACAATGTTCAAGAGGAAGTGTACTCATAACCTCACTCATGTAACTGTGACCCTCTGTATAGTAGCTTTACAATAAAAAAATAAAAAAAAAAAAAAAAGTAAACTAAAATATTGTCATTTTAATATAACCATAACTATAATAAACACGATAGTCTCAGTGTTTTCATAACTTTTCTAATGATATTTTGGCATGTTAAAAATATAGTTTCTTCATTCCCAAGCCTTGGAATTTCTTACTCATCAGGTCTGGGATAAGAGCAGGAAAATTGTATTTTTAGCCAATAACATAAGAAATTCTTCTTTTTAAGGAACTTTGGGAAACAGTAGTTTCCAACTCCTGGATAGTAAAAACACAGAAGAACATAAATTTTACTTGTGAAATGTACCTTCCAGCTGCTGGGCTCAAGATTTCTCTTTTGTTCTTTCTAACATTCCATAATATTCCAAGACAGACAATGTTGCTGTTTCTGAGAATCCAAGTCTGAAAAGTTGAATAACTAGACTAAGAGAAAAGTTGAATAATTTCATCAAGACCACAAAGCCACTTCTTCCTGGCATACCAACTAGGCCTAATCAGTGTACTCTGACAAATCTTGCATCTCTGAAAAAAGAAAGGAAAGAAGGAAGCAGAATTTCAGTAAGTGCATCCCAGCTTTACAAGAAGATTGTTCAGTAGGTTAAATCATTAAGTACACCCTAAAATTTTCCAGTTGAAATGTAAAATTGATTTAAAAAAGAATGATGTAGGAGTCCCAGGGGAAGACCAAAGAGAGTTAGTTGATGCCCACAAAGTAGATGAAAGTCAGTTTTTCTGTTCCTTTTGAGGTAGGCATTATTTTGTTAGGGGGAAAAAAGAAAACATTTTGGCTGAGAAAACAAGAGAAATTGTAATTGGTCATAAAAGGATCCAATTTATTATTTTTTTTCAAAGTTGTCAATTCAGACTTTAAACAGATTTTTTTTCTGGTAGGTACAACCCTTAGTTTTGATTGAAGGACACTAAAACAAAAGAAATGCCATCTGTTCAGCCTCTTGTTTTCTGATGTTGAGAACAAAGATCCTTTAAAGTCTCTGGAAAAGCAAGCCTAATGATCAGAATCAAGTTGTCTATACAATGCAAGAAAAATTCTAACTTTTGCAGAGAAGGCAAGAGGAATTGATATAGTATTTATTGAAAACCCAATCTTTAATGAAAGCAAGAAGAAAAAAGACAGAATTCACAATAAGAAAGAGAACTGTCAGGCACTGGGGGCTCATGCCTGTAATCCCAGGTACTCAGGAGGCTGAGATCTGAGGACTGCGTTTTGAAGCCAGTCCAGGCAGGAAAGTCCAAGAGACTCTTCAATATACTACTTAGAAAAGACTAGAAGTGTCTCTGTGGCTCCAGTTGATATAGGGCTAGCCTTGAGCAAAAGAAGCAGAGACAGTGCTCAGATCCTGAGTTTAAGCCCCAGGATCAGAGAAAGAAAGGAAGGAAGGAAGGAAGAGAAAGAAAGAAGATAGGAAGGAAGAGAAAGAAAGAAGACAGGAAGAAGGAAGGAAGGAAAGGAAGGAAGGAAGGAAGGAAGGCAGGAAGGCAGGCAGGCAGGCAGGCTATTGGGATAGAAATGTGGGGGGGGGGGGGGAATGATGATAGAAGGGGTGACATTGATCAAGATATATTGTATCCATAAACTGACATGTTGAATTGAAACAGCTTTGTACAGCTACTTACATATACTTTAAAAGAAAAAGAAGAAAGGGCATTTTGTCAGCAAGCTAATGCTGAAATTAGTGCCCTATCCTTTAAGTACTAGTTTGAATGTAAACAGTGGGGATTATTTTTCAGTTTCATTGGAACAGGATGTGGTTACTTCCTTGGGTTTCAACTACCTCGGTTTCTTTTTATCACTATATCTTTAATATTTTCACTTTATATCCATAAGGAATAGCAGTTCTAGAGGTAGATTAGTGTTTATATGGAATGGGGTGTGATTTATAGTTTAAAAGATACCACAGTTCGTAATAAATTGAGCTCAAGGGAACTTCCTAAGAGGTAAAAACTTAGACCAATAGAAGACAATTATAGGAATGAGCTTGTTAATAAGAATCTGATAGACTGAAAGAGCCTAGCTGTAAACAACATCAAAAGCTATGCTATCCAGTGGGAAATTAATTAGAAAAATTAATCTGAACTATATGCTAGAAATATTTTTTAAATATTCCAAAGGAGTTATTTAAACATTTTGGGAGGAGGTGATTTTTCAATCCCTTTCCCAGCACACTTTGCCTGTAAGAAGCAAAGTATGGTTAAGCATTTTTCTTCATCCTTAAGCACTGAGATGGAGCTCTGCCTCTTAACCCTGACACTGCTGGCTGGGCTCTGGTCTGTGGGATGTCTGGGTACCCAATTACTTCTTTCTGGTTATTGCTACAACCAGTATAGAGAAAGGATTTCTTTTGTCAGTTGATTTGACCCTAGTCAAATAATAACTTTGACCCATATCCATAGGTTCCTTGTCATGAGTTTAACCAGCTGCAAGAAAAGATTTAGAGGGCTGAGAAGGTGCTCAGTGGTAGAGCGCTTGCCTTGCATGCCTGAGGCCCTGGGTTCGATTCCCCAGCACCACATAAGCAAAAAGAAAAAAGCCGGAAGTGGCGCTGTGGCTCAAGTGGTAGAGCGCTAGCATTGAGCTGAAGAGCTGAGGGACAGTGCCCAGGCCCAGAGTTCATGCCCCACGACCGGACCCAAAAAACAACCACAACAAAAAAAGATTTAGAAAAAAAAAATTGTACTGAATTATGTACTGACCTTCTCGTCATTTCTCTCCAGACAAAACTGTAAAGCAACTATTTACATAGTGCTTACATTATAGTAACTATTATAAATAATCAAGGCTAGAGCTCTACCACTTGAGCCACAGCTCCACTTCTGGCATTTTGGTGGTTAATGAAAGGTAAGAGTCTCATGCATGGACTTTACTGTCTAGGCTGGATTCAAATTACTATACTTATATACTGTACTTATAGCTCAGCCTCTTGAGTAGCTAGGATTACACACATGAGCCACTGGCTCCCGGAAAGTTAAATTGCTTTTACTTCTTTTTTTTTTTGGTAGGTCGTGGGGCCTGCGCACTGTCCCTGAGCTCTTCAGCTTAAGGCAATTGCTCTACCACTTGAGCCACAACGTCACTTCCAGTTTTCTGGTGGTGAATTGAAGATAAGAGCCTCACAGACTTTCCTGCCTGGGTTGGCTTTGAACCGTGATCCTCAGATCTCAGCCTCCTGAGTAGCTAGGATTATAGGTGTGAATGGCTTGCTCCTGGCTGCTTATACTTCTGACAGAATTATTTTTCTTGGGGTTGGAGGCCTGGCTCAGTTGGTAGAGCACCAGCCAATGGGCAAAAGCATCAGGTACTGAATTTGAGTCTTGGTCTTGTACCTAAAAGAAAAAAAAAAAAACAATTATTTTTCAGATGCCATTTGGCCCTAATAGACAAAATATTCCCACGACAAAACCTTTGTCAAGCTCCTTTATACCCAGGGCCTTTGTCTACCTGACATGGTCTCTCCAGATATCTCATAGTTGTCTCCTCATAATTCACACCTCAGCTCCCTTTTCAGAGACGCTTTCCTCTCCTCTCCCTAGTCACTAACTAAGCATTTTACATTTGCTTTGCCTCTTTAAAGGCATCCATTGCTTTGATTTTTAAATAAAAATAAGTAGGGAAACAAAAAATACCCTCTCTAGTCATTCTATTATCACTTTATTTTGTTCTCTTTGTTAAAGTCATCATCTTAAATTATTTTCTTTCTTTCTTTTTTTTGGTAGTACTAGGATTTGAACTCAGGGCCTTATACTTGCTAGGCAGGTACTCTACCACCTGAGACACACCTCTAGTTTCAAATTATGTTTTATATGCTTCCTTTATTGCAACTTACATGACAGAAGGATTCTTTCAATGACCCCACTTCTACCATGCTGGCTAGCGTATCCCAGCACCTACAAGGTCTTTTGTACATTGTTGACTCTCAATAAGTATTTGTTAAATGAGTAGAATTAAATCAAGAGACAATTGGTGTCCTTTTGGCTGAGAATAGTTGCATGCATTCACTTGAAATGAGGGATTTAATTAAATATTTTGCTCAATTTGAAGTTTGTTCATGTTTTAAGGCTACTATTGCCAGTACCCATGCATGTCATATAAATATGAAAAATTTCAACATTCATATGGAACTTATCAAAATGCCAAATAAATTCATATCTACCTTATACCAGCATGTCAGTGGTGAGGTTTCACAGCAAAGTGAATATAGAGAAGCAAGGTCGATGTTGATTCCAAACTGAAAGCTGATACCTTGCCTTTTGCTTTCTAGGCAGTGGGAAACTGGGTAGATTTGCTGATACTGCAGGTGCAACCAACCTATGAGAATACAATAGAATGCTCTACCGCAGAGTAACAATGGAGCACTGAGAGAAAAGGACAGTTGCCCAGAGACCCCCCAGTATGATACATTATACACACAGAGTCATGAGAAAGCTGTTAGGCCAAGTGGTTCTGAATTAGAACTTTGAAAAGTAATAATTCTCATGGAGTGCCTTGGATATGCCAGGCCATTGTCTAGAATCCTTACAGAAATTCCTAAGGGGGCTGGGAAGGTGGCTCAGTGGTAGAGCACTTGCCTTGCATGCACGAGGCCCTGGGTTTGATTCCTCAGCACCACATAAGCAGAAAAAGCTGGAAGTGGCGCTGTGGCTCAAGTGGTAGAGCGCTAGCCTTGAGCTGAAGAGCTGAGGGACAGTGCCCAGGCCCAGAGTTCAAGCCCCATGACTGGCAAAAAAAAAAAAGAAAGAAAGAAAGAAATTCCTAAGGTAGGTGAATTTTCTAATCTTCAAAATGAGTAAGATAAAGATCAGGAGATTAAGTAATCTGTCAAAACCATACAGTTATTAAGAAAAAAAAGCAGAGCAATGATTTAACCTAGATTTTTCAAACCTAAAAGCTAACATACTTTACCATCATACACTGTCAGCTTTTTTCGTGGAGTTTGTAACTTGGCCTCATGCTCTTGGCCTCATGCTCTTGGCCTCATGCTTGCTAGACTTTTGCTCTACCACTTGAGACACAATGCCAGCACCACTTTTCAGTGGCTATTTTTTGAGCTAGAATCTTGCTGCTGGGTGCATGTCTGAGCCATGACCCACCCATTCTGTGCCACTGCATCCAGCTTGCCCCTGTAGAAATGTTGCCTCTCAGGTTTTTTCTGCCCAATCTGGCCTCAAATCACAATCTTCCTATTTCAGCCTCCCAAGTAGCAAGGATTATAGCCACAGGCCACTGGTGCTGCCTCACACTGTTTTCTTTCGCACTGGTGTATTCCCTTTACTTCTGTGATGCCTGGCACCAATTTTAGAACTTGGCACAGCATTCTCATGGAATAATGCCTAGCTGGAAAGCAAATACCTCTGCTGTTAGTAGAAGGACAACCTAAGGGAAATGTCCAAGCCAAACTGGGTCCAGGGTTTGCTGACTGAGCAGGCTCAAGCCTCGTGTTCATGCCTTCTCCCCAACATTTTCTTTCTCAGCATCTATCTGCAGCCCACCTTTACTTCTGTTCTCTGTGGAAAGCATCTTCCAGATGCTGCT